TAATATTATTTATTGAATTAAACTTGTAAACTTGTAAATCCTGTCACTTTTTAAAAGAGACCAAACTTTGTCTGTTAGTTATTTGAACATGGTTTTTGTATATGTTTTATAACATGCTATGTTTTTTGAATGTTTAACWTTTTTGAACTCTGTCTTTTTATTTAGTATTCATTCAACTTCCGTCGTCTTTGGGCCTTCACTGGTCCAGGATTTTTGATGAGCATTGCTTATCTTGATCCCGGTAACATAGAGTCTGACCTACAGTCAGGGGCCACAGCTAAATTCAAGGTATATAATGCTGTCCATGAAATGCATCAGGCAATCAGCGCTTGAGCTCAGACCCTCAACATTTGCCATGTAATGTTTACTGACTATTATGTCTGTGTATACTAGCTGCTGTGGATTCTGATGGTTGCTACTCTTATGGGATTATTCATGCAGGTACAACTATCTCAAACTAGTATTGTTTTATCAAARAATTAATAGGTAGACATCCTCGGGAACCCAGGGATAATCTTCTGTCGTTCGTTCTTCACTCCCAGAAAAAATACCCCTGGGCACAAAGTCTGTTAGACCTTGTTCTTGATTCGAAATTCAAAATGGCGGCCAGTAAGTTAATCAACCAATCAGAATGTTCGAGTTAATCACTCGACCAATCAGAGATTTACCAGCCGCCATTTTGAATTTCGAATCGAGAACAAGGTCTAACAGACTTCGTGCCCAGGGGTATTTTTTCTTGGAGTGAGGAACAAACGACAGAAGATTATCCCTGGGTTCCCGAGGATGATAGGTAGAATAAGATTAGTAATATTTTTTTTCTCCAATTAATATGATTCCTTGCTGGCAGAGTGTTCCTGAAGAGAACATATAATTCAGTATAGCTATGTTCAATAACTTCTGTTTGATTTTAGCGCCTTTCCTTGCGTCTTGGTACCGTTACAGGTAGGATAGAGATATCTCTAATTAGTTAATGATATCCAATTATTGGTTTGATTGTTAACTATATTTGTCATAGGAAAACATTTGGCTGAAATGTGCAATGAGAAATATCCTCGAATACCTAGAATAATTCTATGGGTGATGGTTGAAATTGCAATCATTGGCAGTGACATGCAGGTAATTAGTATTTATTAATTATTTTCATTCATTTAACATATTTTCCAGTAACTTTGACCAGTGTTGTTTGTCTTAAATGTCTTTTCCAGGAAGTGATTGGCACTGCTATTGCCTTTAATCTTTTATCAAATGGAAAGTAAGTTTACTTAACTTATTTCAATAATGTTTTGCTTGCAGGAGCATTATTTTGAAATCTGTAACTTTATTGAAGTGTTTAATCTGTTTTTAGGATCCCTCTGTATGGAGGAGTTCTTATTACAATCACTGATACATTCATTTTTCTATTCTTGGACAAGTATGGTATGTTACATTAGTGTTTCCAGATGCATTCTCCAATTCTATGACTTCATGCTGTATTTGAGTAGTAAAAGCTAATTTGAACTAATGTTAACCATAGGGTTGAGAAAGCTAGAAGCATTTTTTGGTTTCCTCATAACTGTTATGGCGATATCATTTGGATATGAGGTATTTTCACAATTTAGTATTTGYATGTTGCCCATAATTAATTCCTATTTGTGTTTTTTCAGTATATCCGTGTTAAACCAGACCAATTGCAAGTTGTAAAAGGCCTTTTCATTCCTATGTGTAAGAACTGTGACCATAAAGCAATTTTACAAGTAAGTTTTAACTTAACCTTTTTTTTCTTGTTCCCCTGCTTTTCTTCTTCATTCCATTCTTGATTCTCTGTCTACCTTCTTTGTCCACACTTACTTTATTCATTATTGATTGCACTGTCCCAGTATCCTTACATTTATTTGAACCCTCTCTGCTTTTATCCTTTATTATCTTTTCCTCTGACTGATTCAGGATTCTYTATTATAGGCAGTTGGTATTGTTGGTGCAGTTATTATGCCCCACAACATGTATCTACACTCAGCACTTGTCAAGGTAAGGAAATTTTGTGATGGACTAAATATTCATATTGTTTTGTTTAAAAATATTTTTTATGTGTATTGGCAKAATGTTAGCTCAAAAATATATTGTTTTTGTCAGTCAAGAGATATAGATAGAAAAAAAGTGATGGCAGTTAAAGAAGCCAATATGTATTACTTCATTGAATCAGGTAAGGTATCTAGTAGACTCCTTGATGTGTCAAGAGTGAGAATATGACCCAGAGTAATGAATTATACTATGATGTTTAGCCACCCTCACAATTATCTTTTAGAAATAGGCCTGCAGTAAAATTTGCACATATCATCAAGTAGCAGGCAATCTAATGTAGAAATCCATCTCAATATCCAATATTCTTCATCATCAATATCCAATATTCTTCATCATCAATATCCAATATTCTTGTTCTAATCAGTGTCTTTGTCCCCCAGCAATTGCCCTTTTTGTTTCTTTTATAATAAATGTGTTTGTAGTCGCTGTCTTTGCAGAGGTAAGTTAATGTCATATCTAATTGACAATAAATAATATATGACTTTATCATATAATTATCTTCATTTCATAAACTCTATATAGTGGAAGTAAGAAAAAAGCTATTTTATGACATAATAATGCTTTCATATGTAATTATATGATAAACAGAATATTACATGGTCGCTCGGAGATACGAATGTTGGAAATCATGTTGGAAATCTCTAACTCRTTCGCTACACTCACTCGTGAGAGATCTTTTCAACATTCGAAGATAAAATCCGTATCTCCGCGCGCCAATGTAATATCCTCTATGTCTTGCTTGTAATGTTAAAATGTTAAAATCTTTTCATGGTTTTATTGTTTGCATTCTAGTAGAAAAAACAATCAACAATTAGTGCCAAGTAGAAAGAGCTAATGTGATAATACTACTGACAGAAAGAGTTCATATTGTTTTGTTATTATCTCAACAGGCATTTTATCATCAGACATATGCTGATGTGGTATGTATCTTATTTCACCAGTTAGATTGTACTTTCTACTAAATAMTATTCTTTTGTAACATTTCAGTATAGCAATTGCACTCATCATGGGATTTCACAGATTGATATCTTTAATGCCACTCTCCAGGGCAAGAAGGTATCTRGGAATTTTTGCATTGTCCTTATATTCACATCACTGTGCTCTACTGTGTTATGGAATTTTTTTTATCCATAAATATTAGATTTTAAATATATTATTTTAAAATAAAATAATTTTAAATCTGTAATAGATGTTGCCAATTATAAATCAGAGAACCAAAATTGTATAAAAATGACAACTTTTGTTCTAATAGGAAGATGACATAATAGAGGGAGATCTGTATAAAGGCGTAAGTATTAAATCAAGTTTTGGAATATTATTTAGTCATGTGTTGCTCAAGATAATAAAACGCCTTCTCTTACAGGGTGTTTTTCTAGGGTGCATGTTTGGTGCTCCTGCTCTTTATATTTGGGGAATAGGAATACTTGCTGCTGGTCAGAGCTCAACTATGACAGTAAGRCTTTRCRCAACTCTCAATGATAGACTTTTCTTTTGAGGAAAAGGATTTGAATAAAGTAGTGTACAAAAACTATTATTAGCATGCTTCATTTGATGAATTGTGTGATTTCAGGGYACCTATTCTGGCCAATTTGCTATGGAGGTAAGAAATAAGGACATCRCTTTCTTTATCTTTAAAACACAATGAATAACARCTTGTCTCAACTGAACAACTTTGTTCAAAAAATGTGTAATAAAGGTTATCTTGATTTGCTGCAGGGCTTTCTCAACATTTCCTGGGCTCGCTGGAAAAGGGTTTTATTTACACGATCTATTGCCATTGCTCCTACTTTGGCTGTAGCTTTCTTTGAAGGGGTAGAAGACTTGACTGGTATGAAYGACTTTCTGAATGTTCTACAAAGTTTACAGGTAATTCAATTGAGGAATTTATGACTCTCTCTCCTTAATGATATGTGCATTCATTGATTTTAATTTTAATTATATCTCAAATATCACATCATTAATTAATAATTTTATTTGAACAGCTWCCATTTGCTTTACTCCCTGTTTTACACTTTACAAGTCAAGTGGAGATCATGAAGACTTTCACTAATGGCATGTGAGTGTCACTATAGGTAACAAGAAGTGATTCTTTTTTTTCTAATTGTCCTGTTGGATTGCAGTGTGATGCAAGTGATTGCTTGGGCAGTATCYGTTCTTGTTATAGGAATCAATACATACTTTGTAGTATCATACGTGGTAAGTGTAGTTTCTTGGCCACATGAAAGTGAATAGAATTGTATAATTAATTAATTATTGCATTTGTAAATCTGTAGTTACCCATTTGTATTTAAAACAATTATAACACCAATTATTGTAGACTAACCAATAGTCATATGTTTGTCTTAGGGCACCATTCCTCATAATGCCGGACTCTACTTCCTTATTGCTGTAATATTGCTGTGTTATTTCTCTTTTGTGTCGTTTATGGTAAGGTTAACCTAACCATGTACAGGTGCACATCACATGTAAAAAAATTATATAAGTGCTACATTGGCTTATATCAGTACTACATTGACTTATATCAGTCCTACATTGACTAATATCAGTACTATATTGCCTTATATCAGTGCTACACTGACTTAATCCAGTGCGACATTGACTTATATCAGTACTACATTGCCTTATATTAGTGCTACATTGCCTTATATTAGTACTACATTGCCTTATATCAGTAGTACATTGGCTTATATCAGTACTATATTGCCTTATATCAGTACTACATTGCCTTATATCAGTACTACATTGCCTTATATTAGTGCTACATTGGATTATGTCAGAACTACATTGACTTATATCAGTGCTAAATTGGAATATATCAGTACTACATTAACTTATATTAGTGCTATATTGGCTCATGTCATTTATTGAGAGTGATATACTTAATGTGCGAATGTTTTTTATTTTGTAGGTATATCTTGCTCTTGGTTTTTCGTTCCTGGATTTTGTACCTGTAAGTAGCTGTGATTGTCAGTTGTTTTTTGTATGTACTTGCTGAAAATTTGACATGGGAATTTGCAGTCTTTTATTTCCTGAGTTAARAATGGGACGAACGGCTTCTTTCAGGTTGTTCTACTATGAAATGAAATCCAGCTTAAAAATKTGAAAACTTTCATAGTACCTAACGTGAAAACAATCATGAATACTCAAAGACAGGGAGAAGTGTTGGCGTGGGATACTTTTTCTTTCCTTCAAAAACGTTATTTTTTTTACAGTGTTTGAGACGAATTGATTTGGATTACACCAAACATGAGAATCAGGAGACAAGCGCCGAATCAGAAAATACAATAGTAAATAATTTTGGTTAACCAAGCGACTGATGTACATGCATCAAATACTCGARTTTCAGGAGTTTCACTAAGTCAGAATTATTGCGTTCAGTTACTGAACCACTACTGAACTATTGTAGCACTTTCAAACAGAAGGATAATGAACGGACAATAATAAATCTATTTTATTAGATACTGAAGTCCGAAAGAAAGGTCGCAAATTACAATCCTTTGAACAAYACCTCAAATCAAAACCCTGTGACTAGTGATTCATGATTCCAATAAAACTAATATAGACATGCTGTCTGGAATGTTATAAAATATTACCGCTATGCTGAGTATTTGGGGCATTGTAGTCTTTGTAAAGAACTATAAATTTATAAAGAAATAAAAATGCACTTTTCTATGGAAATTGAGTATTCTTTTAAGTAATCGTCAAAATAAATATGTCAAATACGCAAAAACCTTGTGAAACGACACTTAACACATAAATGAACGGAAGATGAAATGGTTTCCTTGCGTTCTCTCGTACCCCGAAGGGCTACCAAGCAAAAACGTCACCCCATAATGTTGAATTATATTCCTGACGAAGTTTAGTGTTTATGAAGGACATCTCAAGGCATTGCGTGCAATATACATTTTGATGTAAACTGGACACTTTGATTCCTTGTCGCGTAAGCCATTGAATGATACTGTAATACCTAAAAAAATAYATTTTAACACAATTACACTAATTGGCAATCCAAATGATAGGATGAGGGTGTGGTGTGTATTTTATACWCTACCCTGCATATTCCATACCTTCTCAACTCGGATGGTTCATTACTCATGAAATGAAACTCGACTATCAACTGTCTGACTTTGCGATATAATGTACCATCCTGTAACATTTGATATAAAGACGACCATTCACTTGATTCAATGTCCATTTTGACAATATCAATAACGATCTGTAATGACGRAAAAAGAGTAAATGCCGGGTGAATGGGGATTGTGATAACAACTAGAATTGACAACATTCTATTGAATCTATCGGATTTGTGTCTTACCTCGCTATGATTTAAATCTTTTATGACAGAAGCTAGAGTTCTAGTTTTCCACTCTGAAAATGGAGGATCTACCGCAACCTTGCCATTACCCTCTTGATCATGGTCAGCTAGTCCCGTGTTGAAGAAATATACTCGCTGTGCATGCTGGTAATCTTGTTTTCCGATAGTAGGATCGAAGGAGTACACTTTACATCCATGATGTGCCATGCCATCGTCAAAGCTAAAATCTTTACCAATTCTGAACAGAACAACGAGCGAATTAATGCCTTTGAACAACTGCTTACAATTTTAATGGTATGCTTACCCAAATGAATATACAATACATGACTCGGGTACTAGTCCTACATCAACATCAAAACAAACGTCCCATGCTCCGTCAGGGCCATAAGGACGATGATCAGGTGCTCCDCCGATTCTTTGGATTTTCTTACAGATTGTGCCTTGTGTTGCTAGGAAACTTCTCAGTCGTTGATATTCTTCTATATTACTTCCTTTGCCAGCTGGTTGTTCTTCTACATACTGATATATACTTGTCTCAGTATTTTCTCTTTTAATGAAGGCCCGATGGGCTGCAAAATACTCTGGACGGTTTACATCCGTGTTTTGTTCAATAGATGAAACGTTTTCGTGAACCTGGRGAGGTAAAAAATCCTATTTTAACGCAACCAATCTGTGYCGTATAGCTATTACTACGTTTAGTCGCTTCTGTTGCGTAAAGTTCATGASGTTTGCATTTTCTCTTCTTTTCTCATAAGCATTCAACACATATATATTTTAATATTATGGATATCGAGAATAATATCACGAGGAGCTGACAAAAATGGCGAGGATAGGCTAAGATAAGGCCCATTTACACGGCATGACTTTGTTGTTGTCGTTACAACCAAACAACGTAAATATAAAAACACATGCACTCTAATCAACAAACAGTAAAGAAACGTGAAAGGCTCATATACCATTGGATTGTTATACCAAGCGAGCATAGTAATCAATGTGAGCATTATGATCACGGCAGAAATCAATTGCCTGCATTTTCTCGATGAGAACAAATTCATCATCAAGCCTGAAAGAACAGAATATGTTATTAGTGAATGTGTGTGTGTGAAAGTGACTATATCACATGATATCATTTAGTCTGAGACATAATTTTATAACGAATGAATTTTGTGACGAGTCCGTGAGWATATATCAGTCGTATACCAAGGATATGATTAAAAGATTTATCTAACGCGTTTCAGACCCTTGATGGCTTAACCATTGCTTAATTTACTTCCTAATTGCTTTATTTCCCTCTGATATTTGTTCCTCAAAGGAAAATGCTTATTGCTTTCGGTAATTTTTTCCGGGATTGTTGTGCAATCTCTTAAGGGTTAAAAATCAATCTGCTACGCCATTAATTTTTAAAAGACTCCCGGGGATGTTTTAGGGGTCTTTCATTTCTGACAAGCATCCCCGGTACTTTTAAGCCGGAGTTCCCCCTCTCCGGGGGTTTACTCAGTCGGCGGTACTCAAGTAATAAGGGCATTGCACCTTGATTTAAGAATTATGTCATTATACTGCATAGTATCTTCCCTCTATCTTGTGTCACAGTCATTAAATGCATCAAATAAAACCCTGTACCCCAACCCTCGAAGAGATCCGGGGAATTAACACATTATAGACAGGGATTTAAAATTGCTGGCATGTTAATTCCCACGGTATCGCGCGGGGTTAGGGGTCGTGGTTTACTGATGCAATAACGAGGGACCCGTCCCAGCCTCTAACGATTTGAAATCCTGAGCTTATATATTGTATTATCGGATGACAAATGCAATATTGTCGATACTAAAAATAAGACTAAACGATGAGGGCACATACAAAATAAATCAAGTGTATTTCTTTGTTCTATTTCTTTTCGCAATTTAAATCTTCTAGAGAACAGCAAAGTTCTGGTTGAGGCGTGCTATCGATATAGATTGATATATATAATATGAGTTTTAGTTTCACAAATGAATATGGTTAATTACTGTTTACACAAATAAATATGATCAATTACATACCTGTCGTGTTATGACGTTACACAGCATAAACCTTAACTTTTTAAAAAAAAAATTCAGAAACTTGCTGTTAGAGATATTTTAGAAAATGCATTACCATTTCAAATTTGTGTTCATTTAGAAAGAGTTCAATTTTTGCCCTACCAGCTCTACCAGCAATGAACGTTTGATTGACGCTTTCTCGTCCAACCTGTTGTCACAAAATAGTCACTGGTGGACTTCTCGCGACCATTCCCCCACTCACTTAAAAAGTAAATTAAAATCGTAAATTAAATGTATAGTAGTTACAAAGAGAGGAGACCGATCTTTTAATTTTGCTGCAGGGGGTCAAATATTTTATTGTCTCTGTGGCTGTGTAAAAGTATATKTCATTTAGTTTTAAGGGAATATATAATGGTAGTTCAGAAGTAGCGATCACGCAAAAATTCCCTTTTTTTACTGTTTTTGACTGAAATTTTTYTCTGGTCATTGAATAAAATAACAGAGAGATACACTCCTTAAGATTTCTTAAATTGTTTCACACATTTCATGTTTGGAATGTCCTCTGGTATAGAGTTCCACCACGATAGGTGAACTGATCTTTTTGCAATTTCGGTGTTACATGTGMGCAGATGAATGTTATATGATGATCAATCTGATGTTATAATTGTGAACGTCTGTTCTTTTGACAATGACCTGTTAACAAACTGGGAGTAACTTTTAAAGCTATCTTAATGTTGGTGAAATATGGTCACTACTCTTTTCTGAGTAGTCTTGCTGAGAAAGTACAAGCTTGTTTGGCAATATTCGATTTACTAGTAAAAGGACAAGACGGATTTTAAATAAAACGCTTCCATGACAACACAATGTCAATCAATGTCAGTCAAGTCTGTTCAGGCTGCGTAAAGAAGAAGAAGTGGAGAATTACAAATGTTTTGGCAGCATCAATATAAACGTTTAAAACAATGATCCCCCGGTATCAGATTACCCGGGGGCTGGGAGGTGGTATTCCAAATTTTATTTTTGTAAACGTCTATTTTTATAAAAAAATGTTTTAATCTGAAAAATAAAAAACACCCCTCTCGCTTTTTGCTCGTCTTTTTTTATACAATATTTTTACTTTGCTTTTAGATTCCAATATTCATCAGAATCAGTGCTCACTCTTCCAGGGACACGAAGTAGTGTGATAATCTTATCATCGTCTCTACGTTGCCATAACATTTCACCTTCAAACTGAACCAAGTCTTGCTTCCTCGCTCGCATGAGCATTCCAACCAATTTGTTTGAGATAGAAGTATAAATATTGAATAATTTGCCAAACTTGATTGTTACTGTGCCATCAGACTGGGCATTCCCCATTCGTTCGATTATTTTACATAGATCGTACACTTCTTGGCTAATGTGTAATCCCGCGTGTTTACCACGTATTTCTGTTTTGGAACCAGCAACTGGACGTCCATAGTCTTTATCACTCAGCTTTGGTGTAGCAGCCATCATCGCTCGATTTCCTCTTTGGCTTGACAGGATAGCAAAATATGAATTTTAGAATCGATTAATAGTATGTACTATGATAAACTCCAATAAAACGGGAAGCAAATTTGGTCTCCGGAGCAAGTTTACCTCAAGAGCAAGTTACCTGTTGTATATTTTGATATTGAGTACAAGGTTAGTSTAATTTTGCAATTATTTCTCAAAGAATTGTTAGGGATGCATATTGTATACAAACATTTCAGTTGCTTCTTAAGATCGTCTGTTTATAAAAACGTCGCTTTCTCACTGGGACTTGGCAGAAAAAACGCTATGGTTGAGCATCCTTAGTTAGATAGGAATTCAAGAAACGGTCATTTGGAACTGACTATATGTAAGATACCTKAGTCAGCCGAACCAGAGGAACGATAGTCTATATTCTGCAAACATATTCGACTACATCGTTTGGTGCATCATTCGTGAAAAATCAGTACTGGTCAGCGGCTAAAAGGTACTAGTCCACATTTTTTGTTGTAAAACGCACAATCTACGTGCACGCCACGCAATGTATAGTATTTATTACTAAAAAGATGTGTTTAAAAAAAAATTGCCTCAAGAGTATAAATGCTTGCATCGGAAGAGAAGGCAGGCAGCAAAACGTTTTGACAGCGCTAGTTTGATAAATTGTAATTCGAAGTTATATTTCAGTTTTTGGCAATTACTCGGCAATTACTTGTGTCGAAAACAGGAGAACCAGAGTCGAGTAATAAAATAAAAATTATCATTTTTTATCAGACTTTATTATCAAACCAACGSGAGGAAATAACAATGACACATCAATTCCTTTCGCTACACTTTTAAGCCCGACAAAAATGGTAGTCTGCGAAGGAGACCGTATACATAAATTGTCTGATCTTTAGAAAAGACAATAATTACCTATTCAAAAAACCTTTTCCAATAGTTGAGTTTCGTGTTCTCAGTATTTTACACTGTGTTAGCCTCAATTGTGTGCAAAATATTCAGAAATCTTGATAAAAATCGTGAAATTTCAAACATCAGTTCCACTGAATCACCATTGTCTTCTATACCACGGATCTCTTGCATTTGCACGGGATGTTTGTGAATAAAAGAATTTTACATGGTTTTGAGGCTAACAAAGAGATCGCTAAAATGGTTTGTTGTAAGATATAAGAAGTGCTGAAAGTTCGACATGGTATAGCTTCGATTTCCTAGTACAATAAAGGCTGCTTTGTGCATACAAGGCATTGCATGTAACAGGGATTTATTCTACTTTTATTGCAAATGCAAATGACTTGAAAAAATCCAAATCCGATTATCTCACTTCTTATGAAAACTTGCATTGAAGACAATGAAGATTAAAAATAGAGTCGGCTTGCGAAGCTTGCTAGCGTGCACTTGGGATAACTAGTCTAGAGTTCATCTCCGATTACTGAACGACTACATCTCATAAAATGTGCTGGAACGTCGAATGTCTGGTACTGGTTCTTATTCAGTCTTTCAATCAGTCTTTCTCTTGTTCTAAGTCAGTTCTGYTTTCGTCCTCTTTGTCATCAGTGCGGTCAGTGTCCCTCAAGTCCTGGCGCCATTTCGTACGTCGATTTTGAAACCACACTTTTACCTGTGTTTCTGACAGTCCAAGCATTGCTGCTAGCTGATATCGATCATGTTTAGTTATGTATTTTTGTACTTGAAATCTCTTTTCTAAGCCTCTTCTTTGGAGTTGCGTGAATACCGGTCGTGACCATGGTCGGCGTCGTTGAGGAGTCTTGCAGAAGCTGTCATGCATTGTGAAATTTTCATTCTTTTTAAGYCTTGAATGATGGTCTAATATAAAATGTTAGATAAGTTTTAGTTATATTAAGAATTGGATGAAGACGATGAGATGACTGATGAGAGCATGAATAAAAAGTATACTGCAGAAACTGTCAAACTCTAGACATGCATGTTACAAACAGATATTCACCCCATTGTTGACCTACTTTAGTATTAGAAAATCTGTGTATGAACTGATTAGATATGTAATAGTCAAGCAAACACTTAAGTTTATTAAAACCTCAAGTTAAGGTCAATGGACTAAACTAAGTAAGTTTATTTTAGCTAACGTCAATGTCATTTACTTTGATCAGTCAAAAAGGAAGTAGTATAAAGAATTTGTGTGAGTGGCAAAAGATAATCTCAACTTAGGAAGATTTGATTTGAAACTGTAAGTAGATTTTCACGGTTAATTAAGTTATCTAACTTAATGCATTTAATAGCATTACAGCATTTGTGGTCAACCCATGTGAAATAAAGTCTATACTATTTACATTGAATGACAAGTGTTGTAGTCTGATCTCCCACATCCATTGTTCACTGTACATTATAGCCATTATAGCSGTTATAGCCATGTAGCCTGAGCCCAGTCTCAACCGGTTCTAAGCTTTCCATATATATGACGTTAATCGTTAATCATTCTAATACGACAACGTCATAGTCAAATCCAAAGCATGGACCTTTCGCTCGAACACTGAAAAGCCCCGTCTTCCAGTCACCAACTGGATAAACATTAAAGTCAAAAAGAAACAACACACAAAAAAGATATAATCATTGATTTGGCTTTTCAGCTCACCTAGTGCAATGTGTTTCCGATACAACACAGCAATAGAAAAGTTACCAACTGTTAATAAGATTAAAAATATATAGAACTCCTATAGAATCCGTCATCAATAAAAAGAATTTTATGGCTATTGGTTAGCCCTCAACGCCGTTAAGAATTGACTTAATAGGCCTTGGTTCAAAAGATTGAGACAAGTCAGTCGTGTTACAGAGTACGATTCAGAACGTCAGGAATTTTTATCACAGGTAGCCCAACCTCAATGGTTGTCTTTGTTTTCTAAACAATCATATATGTGACTTATAAACCCCACACTTCTTACCTCGGATGATAATAAACATCTTCGCCTTGAAACTTGAATGCAGTTTTTTTGATACACTGCATTACCATGTGCATGAATTCCAGCGAATTTCGTTGAATACGTTTAACAAWTTTTTATAGCCTTCGGCCACCATAAATTGCTTATAAATTGCTTATAAATAGCAGGGGTTGATACAGTAATGTTCAAAASGGAGGGCCGACTACAAAAGTGTCGGACAATTTTCGCGGGAATTTGTCTTGTTTCATCAACTAATCTTCAATCGAAAATGCAAATGATAAATTAAAAMWCGACGACAATCGAATCTGTTTTGAGAGTTATCTTATTTTCCGATGTTTTCTTGTTGCTTTTTCATATAATAGTTCAAAGAATAGTTATCAACCCCATCTTTAACAGCGAAATTCGCTGACACTCAAAGGCAATGCAGTATATCAAAAAGAGAGCATGAAAGTTTTAGGAATTTTGTTATCATTTAAGACGGTAAGAAAGGAGATTTAATATAGCCTGACGTATTTTRTAGATTATTTGGTAAATTCATAAAACCACTGAGTTTTGGCTGTCTTGATGAACTTAGATATTAGTAGAGGAACCCCACACATCGCATGCAGCTATTTAGTACGCAGTGGTCACGAACTYACTGAAATAGTGTCTTGCGCTGCGGGAAACAAAGAATAGAGTGTCATCGAAAAAATAAATTTAGTGATTTTAGTGATTTTTGAAATCTTGCTCCTGCTTCCTCTTGACAAGCCTGCCCCACGAATACAGTATTAACACTGATAGATCATTGCTCGTGATAGTAGGGCTAGTTAAACAAACAAACTGAAGTTGTAGAATGGTAAGGATTATCACGCTTCTCAGGGTTTAATCACCCAATTGGCACTTTGTTCATATGTATCCCACTGCGCTTTTTGTTAGCTCGATCAATGAATTGTTAACATGCAATTTTACCTGAGTTCAARATGTTGTCAATGCCAAACTTGAGCCTTCTGCTGATATTGGCTGGTTTTGGGTCGTGTTCAACATGCTCCGTACGTGTGAAAGGACTTTGCAAAGAATGCGCTCTAAAATACCTCCTGTTAAAGTTAGGTTGATAATGCTGATAATAACAACCRGAGCTCCATGTACTTTTAACCGCGGTACATTGACCAAGCGTGTTATTCTCACAGTTGCAGTAGATAACTGGAACTGCAGAAAACATGTTTTTCGGCACAAGAAGTTGTTGTGCTTACACAGACCTCCCATATGATGCAATAAATTGGGTCTATCGCCAATAAATAGTCGTTATCTAGGCCATCTCCGCTTTCATAGATATCAAAGCTCATTTTATGAACGCATTCCAATAACGCTTCCTGTACTTGGAGTTTTAAAGACTTTATTATAAACTCGTTGAATTGGAGATCACTTGACTTCAATTGGATACTATTCACAAGCCATCATTCTTGTACCCACATAATGTCGGTTGCTTTATAAAGCCAACTCGATCAATAACTTCCCAAGAATTTAATTGAAAGCTTGACATTTAATATAGGTTTCCATAAAACTCGTTGATAGCTATTTGAGCCAACACTCCTCTTTTACATCTGTGTTTACTGGCATATCGCTTTTATGGCTGATAGGGGTGCATTTCTATAGATAAGACAGCTCACTCTGGCATCCAAGTGCACATGATTCATTTCTTTTCCTTAGTGATGTATTCTAGATTGCTACCTGCATATTCGAATAACAGTATAATACCAACGACTTCTACTATTATCGTCTGTATTGTATCTAAGCAGAAAACAGTGCGGCACTCAAGTGGGTTMGACTGGCACTCATATCTTATTTTATTCGCATAGTGATAACAAGATTGCTAAGTGGCGCCACGGGTTAGTAAAGTGTCACTTTAGTCTCAATTAACTTTATTATTACACAGAACTATTGTTTTGTATCGTTTTTTTGCTCATCATATCTAACAAAAGACGTTCGCTATCATTTATGTATGACTTCGCATATTCTTAATTTGTGTGTACGTGTGTGGCCTGACGCCGATCGTGAACCAACTGCTGTTCGTCAAACGGTTAACTGATGGTTGAATTTCATTTCTGCCATACGGGTATTATCCTAGGGATAATGCTGGATTATTAATAATGGAATTTAATCATATGCACACCAAAGTTTCTTTAGCCAAAATGAATAAATAGATGGATGGATGACCCATTCAGGTACATGGCTGATAGTGGGACTGATATATAAACCAGCTAACTGATCGAACCCGATTCTGTCTTAGGCGATAGATATTGGCAGCTAACTGATCGAACCTGATTGTCTTAGGCCATGGATATTGGCATTTCTGACTTCATTGATAATTTTCCCGAATGAAATGCCGGACCTATATAAAGGTGCTGTTCAAAAGTGATGTGCTAGTGTGTAATGCGGATATACTTGAATAGTCCGATTTTTGTGCGGTTTCTCMCATTTTCTCACGAATCTGTAACTTCAGAAGTCCGTTTCACTTTCATCAAGTGTTCACCATATTACATTTAATATAAGAGAGCCGTTAATCAATTTCCATTGATGAGAGTTGATGCTTTACTAGTTTTGATAGTGTCATGACTTTAATAGTAATAATTACTGCTGATAAACATTGTTGCTATGAATGTCGGTGATAAACCATCGTCCTTATCAGCATAAGACGAACAGACCTAAACAATCATCTATTCACATCCATAAAGATCATCTGATAYCACAACGGTTTATTATGGGAGTTGATTGGATGTGTTTATACAGCGACRGTCAAACGTTTGATATTCATTAACGTTACTTCTCTCTTCTTAAATGGAAAGTACACAACTTCACATTTTGGCTATCATTTTATGTGATCRATTTTTAGCTTAATACGATTATAGGTAGGGTTTCAGTTCACCTGAGTAATTTACTCAAAGAAGGGGAGAGGGGAAATGATAAAGCTGAGAACCTTTCCTGGAGACGTGAATGATTTGAGCTTTAATAGGCTAAAAAACTCAGTTCTTATCATGTTGTTCAGGAGAAGAGGCTTTGTGTTGGACAAAGAGAAGATCAGAGTAAAGTCCTTTTGAAGCAAATGTTCACATGACCGTAGGCGCGCTCTAGTCACGTAATTATACCCAATGACGATACCGCAAATGATCGAACAGACGAAACAATAATCAACATTCAATGTTATAAAAATAGGTGATTTATTTGCGTTGACAGTCTTGTATCAATTTTAGCTCGAGTACCCGTCTCTTTAGGCCCGGCTACACAGGCTAGTATCAGTCACGTATATGAACATGAACAATGTTTGCAGTATCTCCTTGTTTCAGACAATGTGTTAAACGTATATGTGAAAAAGAAAAATTCTAGAAAGCAAAGTATATAGGTGTGCTTCACAAAAGACGYGTCTTAATTTGTGCATTGTTCACATCATTTGAACGCTAGCAAGCAAATCAAATGGACTTTATCATCAATACAGTCCCCATCTTGAAATATGTCAAAACTATGTGTTCGTCAAGAAGCAATTTCTTCTATAGAATTGTGGCTAATTATTACTTTCGCTAAWAATTTTTTGTTTAATACAAGATGGCGGCCGAATTGAAGGGCGCCTAAAGCATCACTGGCGCACAAATGGTCCTTTTGATTCCTTCTGATTATTTTCAGCTATTTAAATGACTCGTAAGCTAATTGTTACTAAAATGCGAAGCATTTCCATCTCTATGGACAGAAGTTTTAGATTATACGTACCTCACACTGTGCCTTCTCCAGCATTCCCATGCCGTATCAAYATCATTAGCTTATTCGAACTTTTCAAAATGTAAAATTACCTTCGATCATAAAAGAAGCCCTTTTAACAAAAACTAACATATAAAATATCAACTTTTCGGAATACTACGGAATTTTTTCCATTTAACTTTTTCTGWATAATATATTATAGATAAAATAGGTCTGAACGATTTAGCTGCAATGTTTTTGGTACATCGACCGTCTTTGGAATAGCTACTGTACGAACATGCCGGTCATCCCATGACTGAATAGTGAATATATCTTCTAAAGAACCACCGCTAGCATGATTCTTCTGTTTATGTTTTGGACTAATCAAAATATGTTTTAATACATCGTCAACCATCTATTCTGTATTAGCTGAACATTCTATCTGAATCACCTCAAAGTCAATCAATTTTTTACTTGAATTGACCGCAGTGCATCACGGTTAACCATGGCTCTTTGACTACAGACTCTTTGATAGAYTTGTTGCACACGCCTGATTCAGAAACGTCTTCCATAGAACGAAGAGGTTCCATAGCCAAAATGAGACTGTTAATGTTGTAAAAATTAAAAATATTTTYCAGATTTTCTGTTAAACTCTAGTTGGTTCTGACATTATCACTCGTCCTATTTTAACTTTACTGCTCTGTTCTTGGTTTCCATCTGTTTGGTCCATTCGTCGTCTGTTCGGTAAGGAGTTTGATCGATTGGTCAAATCGTCGTCATAATGACTTACAAGCTGGCGGTACCTCTGTTCCGACGGAAAATCGATAAGAGCTTCTTGGCCATACAAGGAATGCTTCGGCGATCCTTCGGCATCAGCTAAATTATATTCACCTCTGCGTGTTTTACCAATTCTAAAAAAATCGTTAAATGTATAAAAATATCGTTCTATTGATGTTTTTCAAGTCTTTTAGACATACTTAAATTTGCGATAAAATGGTTTCTTGGCAAGTTTTTGTTGCACAGCATTGAAATCCGCTTTGCTCGTCATGGTGATAGGAATTTCTTGCTCTTCAGATTGGCTTGTTCGAGGTACACCATTAGACACTAAACACCAAGAAAAAAAGTAAATACTTCACGTTTTGATTTTGGTAACTCAGAGGCAYGATCATATTTATAACTGGTTTGTGGTTAGAACTTACCAGATGACGAGGGTCCTTCTATAGCATTTCTAAAACTATGGTTACTAGTGCTTGCTTTTCGCCTGCAAAAGACAAATACACAGTTAACTTGACATCGCAACAGCGGAGGAATAAGCAAAATACTTACACGTCGCCATCACTTATTGAACTTTCTGATGTTGACTTCCACATTTGTCGAGTGTTCGGTTGTAAGCCTTTGTCCCCTTGAAGATACATTGCACACGAATTATCATTCCAGAAAATACGAATTATACGAACACAGGAAATGGTGCATGGTTTAACTATTCCAGATTGTTGTCTTATGAACAGATACTTACCATTAACTGCATTGGTCTGCATATGACCCTCTGATTTAGCCTTGCGTAAAGGGGGATTACTACCATTCACAATAGCGTTGGACGTTTTGCTTTTATTGATTTCTTTTTGCTTTTCTCGAATTTGATACATTTGAGTCTTTTTTGCATCAACCGAAGCGCGTGCTCTCTTTTCTGACATGGATTGTCGTCCAAAACCCTCTCTTTCAAAAGGGCTATCATTGATTATGTCATCGTTGTTTTCCTCGTGACCTTCATCTGATCCTGTAGATCGTCCTCGTATTCTCTCTAATGTTTGCTCGTAGGACGGTAACCTGTGGTACGATGCACGAGTTGAGTTGTTTTCCTTTACATCTACGTTTATTCTGTTTGGCGATGATGGCACAAGTTGTTGGCCATTTTTTAAGCCATGTTTATCATTCGTACTTGATGTTGATATATGTTTGCGTATTTGATAATTTGCCATTGTGGCGTTATTGAACGAGTCTCCCCGTGGAGGAGGCACTGGGGTTGGATTTCGGCTCTTGGACTGTCCATTTGTATCACAAGGAGGAGTAGGCAGCCCAACAGTACTTGATGGCCTGTCTTGAAAGGTATCGGCACTTTTCGCTAAAAGGGGGCTTGGTCGTATTGGATGTTTCTTGTAAGGGCCTTTGATGGCGAAACAGTAGGACTCATTTCTTTGTACAGCATTCCTGTATTTACTCGGTGATAGATTTAATTGGACTGGGGGACCTTCCTTAAAACTGTCTTCTTCTTGGGAGCCTAACATTAACAGAAATAAATATTGATGAGAATGCAGTAACACAAAAAGTGCCAGAAAGTGGAAGTAAGATGAGAGCATGGATCAATAGTGGGCAATGGCTGGGTGCACTCAATAGTCAGGTGTGAGCTAGTGCCCGGTATTGCACTACTATTGTGTGCAATGCCTTTCTTTCTCATCCCTCATCAAAACATTGAGACCTCAAAATGCTAGAGTCACTTACCGTTAGCAACACTTGTTTGTTCATTCTCTTCGGGGACATTTTCTTCCATGTCAGGTTCCAAGGGAYTATTTTGGACTAGGTTTTGTTGGCTTATTTCAATGGGACCTTGGTCAGTTTCATTAGTATCTTCGACTGGTRCTTGTAAACTTGCTTCAATGGGTCTCTCTTCTTGTTCACAATGTTGCAAATCATTAACTGATTCTACATCACTATCTTTAAGTCGTGCTATTGTAACTTCAATGAAGGCTTGTCCAAGACGTGTGGTCTGCATTGCTGTCCTTAGCTTTTCAATAGCTTCTGCATTTGGTATACCCAAAAATGATACCTTGTTTACGCTTAACAGTTGATCTTCAGCTTGTAGTCTTCCATCCTATATAAAACACAATCATTAGAAATCAACAAAACGTTATATATTTATTTGCTGAGCTGTTACCTTCTGAGCTGCCCCTCCAGCAATAACAGACTTAACATAAATTCCTGTGTCTTGCGGAGTATCACCACCTATTTTCCCTTTGACACTAATACCAAGACCAGCAGCTCCAGAATGGCTTAGAGGAATCTTAAATGTCAGCACTTGTTTACCTTCTTCACGAAGAAATTTTGTACTTTCTTCATTGACCTGTAAAGAAACATTTTTAAAGAGTACAATTCAAAACAAAATTACATGATAATTCCAAATTATGCAAAATTAAGRTTTAAAATTTGAATTTTATCGATTACGGAATTAATGTGCTTGCTGAATAGATTTAAGTTTAGAAAGATACATACAATATGTAGTGAATGAAAACTTGCTATTGTTACTGTAATGCACTCAGATAAAAAGTAGGCAACAAAGGAACATGTAATGTGCATGCAAAAATCTAGATACAGAGATTGTGCAGCTTAATTATTATTATCATTATTAAAAGTGCCCACCACTAGAATACACCGTGATTGAATGCCTATTTACCTCAAGTGATGATCTTGCAGGAGCTTGAATCATTTCCTCTCTTTGGATTAGTAACTTAACAAGACCTCTTGTACTTCGAAGTATATTGACTGCTTCTCCTTGGCTTTTACCAGACATCTCTGTACCATTAACCTGGAATTTAATCAACTTTTCAGTTAAAAAAACTGGAATTATGGGAATTTATAGAATTTTAAATTGATGTCTACAGCTATCAATTCTTTCAACTCTTTCCCCTATTTAAGAAAACAGCTCTACTGTACCTCAATGATCTGATCTCCACTTTTAAGCTGTCCATCCTCAATTGCTGCACCCTTGGCCAAAATGCTTTTCACAAAAATTGGTGTGTTGCCACCTGCTGGATTGTCTCGTGTTGTTATACTAAACCCTAATCCATCTGAACCTATAGACAACACATTATTACACATTGATTGTTTGAAGGTTTATTGTAGCTTACAGACTACACACACCTTTATTCAATTCAATGAGAAATCTTTTATTGATCTTCTTGACATTTGTAGATAATTGAAGATCACTGTTTGAGATGGCTAGAAACGAAAACAATGAAGATATTACAATTTTCCTTTGCTAAATACATGAATGTAAATTGTTAGGGTTTTTGTAATTACAACATTTTTTCATGCTCTCTTTTTTCATGTTGCATAAGAAAATCTGCTGTCAAATAAAACAACAGAAGGCTCTGTTGGTGAGTTTATTAGAGGGTACAATGATGTGAATGGTGTTAGTGCCTTACATTTTCCAATATCCCTAAATCCAGGTGGAGGTTCAATTCCATTGGGTTCAGATGACATACATTTTTCTTGAATGGCTTGTTGTTCTTCAATTTCTTGCAGTTTACAAATTTCATTCTGCTTGTTCTCATTTACAAATGAATGTGCACCAGAAACCACAAGTTGAACAAGTGGAGCATGGCATTCTTCCCCAAATATTTCTTCAGCCCTGAAACCATTAAATTTAAAATAACTACTCAAAAAAAGCCATAACAAAACATCTTTATGCTGGRATTTGTCATATTAAGGTATCAGGAGGGGTTTGTTTTAGACATATTGTAAAGGATATACAGTTAATTTAATTAATTACAGAACATTGTTGATTTATAGATTAGATTTAGATAGTCTCCGTAGTTAAAGTTTTGCGGTTTAGATACCTTCATGTACCTTTATATGTAATAGTATACTTTAGCGTCCCCACGCACATATAAAAGTGTGATTAAGCGTCATTTGATTAGTTGTAAGAAGATTTTAGCAATAAGGAGTGTCTGTGATATTGGTACAAGCGGGACAGATATGTAAGTAACCTTTCATTTCACTATTAAGATCAAGGATCATCGTACTAAGTGTGGGCTATTAGATCTTTTGAATCATTGTGACCTTTGATTATTTCAAGATTATGAAAAGACCTACGAGGTCGCCTTTTATGTAGTTAACGCCCACTTAAGTTTTGTTAATAGAGCGTTTAGCTCTCAATCAGTCCTAGAACTAGTTTTCATCACTACAATTTAACATATTGCATGATCTAGTATTATTTTATGTGTTATTGCATTATTGTATCATTGAATTTGTAAAGTATTGATTGCTATTTTTATGCCATGCTAGTTACATATTTTTATCTGATTAGAGTTTTTGCCACAATTGTAATTCTAGTTTACGTTCGTCTCAACATCGATCAAGTCTTCGAATAAACCGTTTCAGTTAAATTGTGACAAGTGCCTAGTCTTATTCCTAGACCGATTCCAGTTGGCGCGGCCAGTAAAAATACATGTTAACCGCTACACATATTAAAAAAAATGTTTCTTTAGTACGAAAGAATATAATGTCAACTTTAATATTAGTTTTAAAAAAAGTTGATTTCGATTTTTTAAATGTGATTAATTAATGAAAATAAAGATCGTGACCAAAACTATTCCARAAACTGATTGTCAGATYACTTAATTAGGCAATCTGTTATCAGCACAAGGTTGCCTAGTAACCTTGCTGAAATAACTATCAAAACAACATTTGTAATGTGTATATATATCTTTTTAATTGTATATAGTCAATAGTTTATAGTTTAATTGTAAATAGTTATTTAGATGTCGTCTCGGAARCGAAATTCGCTTTTTACTTCAGCRACAAAGAAGGCAAWATGACCRTTTTCAGCAGAGCGAAATTCCTTTAGTCAAAGGCTCGTATTTTGGCCAGGAGAAGCAGTGGCACAGTGAATTTGAGAAAGAACTTGGTTCAGCTCTAAGAAGTTGCCCATTGAACCTTTGAGTACCTCTATAACACGTTGTCGGGGACTTGTTCCGAGCTCGCTTCTTTCCCCGTTTTCTACTTCCTGGGACTGATTCTTGTCTTCATCTTCTGGGCATAGTTATAAACTCGTTATAAACTGGAATTTGAATTTGGAGAATACTCAGCTGTAAGTTTGACCTTTGCCGAGAATGATTGTAAAAGGAACATATCCTGAGAATACCCTGGCATAATGACATAATGCTGACAGATATGAGGTGTTGTGTAAACACCCCTGTGGTTTCTATGCACAAATGAATAAACGCGTTTATCTGATGTTTTTGAAACGAGAAAAATTGTACTTTTGAAACGCTTTAACTTTTCCGCAATACGACATTTTGATTTCAAAATTCGCAAGAATAGAAATCACATTTGGAACTAAAAAACGGCGTCGGCAATTTTTGATTTTCACTTTCGTTGTTGAGTGAGTTCTTGCTCAGTATGTACACTGATAYGCGGGGAATTCAATCATCAATAATTAGGCTCTGTAGCAGCTGATCTAAAGCAGTGATGAAAAATTGCCGACACAGTTTTAGACTTAAATATCATCATCATCATCATCGTTTGGCTGTTGCACAGTCAACTACAAGACGTTTCCAGTTGACCCGGTCTTGGGCAGTTCGTAGAATGTCTGATTCAGTGAAATTGCTAGTTGGATCGATCCATTCCTTGACTTGCTTATAGTACAACTTCCGTTGACCACCTTGGGGTCTGTTTCCGTGGGGAGGTTCATAAAGTGCATAGATTTTTGATGGCTCTGAGTCATGCAAACGCAGAATGTGACCAAGGAATTGGAGCTGCYGTCCCAYGATAGATTTCATCAACGGTTTGGTATTTGTGATGCTGTATAGTCTTTCGTTTGATACTCTGTCAGTTCGTCTAATACCAAGCATGATACGGTAGCAAGAAGTTGAAAAKGAATTTATTTTTGACGTGATATCCTTGGTGATCACCCAAGTYTCGCAACGATAAAGTAGGACGGATAAACAGGTGGATTTGAAAATACCGAGCTTTAGATGAAGCGGGACATGGTTTGAATGCCATATCTTTTCTAGGCTCCAATTAGGAAAGTGTTAATGTGGTTTTCATTGCTAAGACGGCAATCCTGACAATTTTGACGCAGTTCAAACAAGGTACAGTCAAAATACGCTTTTGTCTTTATGGCATTTTAAGTTATGGAAATTCCAAAATAATTTTCAAAAACTACATTTCTTTAGCTTTTAAAACATAAATACTTTTACTGAGGTATTTTACAAAGCCAGTGAGGTAATTTGAGTTTGTGTGAGTAGTGGTCGTGAACCCCTCCTGATACCTTAATGTTGTTTATTAATTCAATAAATAATAATAATTTACACATGAGTAGTTAGYRGGCATCGCAATTAGTTAAGACTATTYAGGGCGATGCCCGCTATGAATACTAATTTAGATTACAAAATGTAAAAGTTAATAACAAGACAATGAAGAAGTTGTAAGGTATGGAAATTGTTGTAAGGTATAATTATTGTAAATAAACATTTTCATACCTTTCATTGGGTATATCTACCAAATTCTTGCCATTAATTTGCAATATTCTATCTGCAACCTACATTGTAACAATCTTTTGATCAATATCTATAAATCTGCATGATATTTATTTATCTGTATATTTGATTACTATTACAGCCTTTTGCAAAAATTATGAGAATTGTCTAAATATCTAAATATCATAATATCCATATCCATATATTGTCTGGAACACGAGGGTTTGCTAGAATAATTCATTGTTGACATCGAGAAAATGTTCAGAACTACGGATAAGTCTGTCGCCAAAAAAAAAAACTAAACTACAAAGACAAGGGGCAAAAGGGCATCGCGCGGGATTACCCATCATGCACTCGATATTATGATATTTAGATATTTCAACAATTCTCATAATTTTTGCAAAAGGCTGTATAAACTGTTAATGCTATATTTCTTTATATTATCACTGTATATTTAACAATTAGACCTCGAGGTCGAGTGGACTACGATCTGATAGCCCATGAGGCCGAGTCCGYGAGGCCGAATGGGCTATTAGCTCGTAGTCCACGAGACRGAGAGGTCTAATTGTTTTAGTATAAACATACTAATCAGTCAAATAATGAAAACAAATTGAAATATGCTTAAAATAATTTATAATTTATAATTTATTTATTTTGATTTTCCCTCGAGTGGTCTATCACAAATTAGACCATTAGTAGAGTAGCCAATCAGAGCGCAGTATGAGTGATAGACCATTAGTATGTTTATACTAAATTATAATATACCTGGATAAATAATGGGTTCATTAATGATGTATAAAGAACCATTATTCATGTAAATTAAAACCTTGATTTGTTGCTGTTTGAAAATGTACCTGTAATTGTCCATCCTTAGCAACACAGCCAGTACTAGAAATTTCTCTTACAATAAGACCAAGTTCTCTGCAACAAGCAAAATCATTACATTTGAAAATTTCTTTCACAAAGAATTCTTCAGGACAAACTTCCAAATGTCAAGAAACATTTTACTATATTTCACCTTCCATCAGCTGTCTTGTAGCCAGCAACTTCAAAACCAAGGTCACCAGGAGTTTCAGGTTGCAAGTTGATGGTTAAAGTGTCATCTGATTCTCTGGAAGAGGACAAGACAACAGTATTAGTTTAAGTGATAAATGGCATTGCAATCCCACATTACAGATATTGTAACTGTATGTTATTTTAATACATGTATRCTTTACATACCCACTACAAATAGAGTCACAGCCATCCATTTTGTCTTGACCATATACATTACTGCTAAATGCTCTTTCTTCTGTTGGGGACATGGAGGCACCTGCTGGATCTTGTCGTTCCTCTTGCTGATCTAATATTCTTTTACGCTGTAATTCTGCCCATCTGTCTAAAACTGGATTATCCACAAACATACTCTGTCTGCCTGAGTTCCGTCCAAGAGAAAAGGTACCATCATCATCTTCTAGTTCAAAATCTTTTTCTGATTCATTTTTCTTGTTTTCTGAGTTTGCATTGAAGTTAAATTGAGCATCAACTTGAATTGGAGTACCAATTGCAACAAATGCTGTCTCTGCTGTTCTAATGACACGAGGGGACATTTCACTGAATTCTGATTTGGATGAATCTGATCCTATACGGTTTCTTGTTATTACATATATTCCAGAATCCTCTGAAGGCAGGCTATCAGGTAGCATATGTGTGTCTTTYCTCTTATAGCCTCTTGGTTTTGGAGCAACAGGTGGAGGTGGAAGTTTTTCATTGATGTGTGTTGATACCACAACCAATTTTGAAGGAGTAGTATCATTATGATTTTCATCTTTGGTTGTCATCAAATTTGACTTAGTATTCAAATCATTATGAAAGGCTGTTAATTCAGATTGAAAAATATCTGGACTTGATGTACCAACAGAGGATGTACTCATCCCATCTCCACCATTATGTGCTGGGCGACTGATTGATTGTTCTTCAAATATAGCAATAACCTGCAAATACACAGACATCATTACTCACTAATGCTCTAATGAATTGAAAAACAGGGTCCACATGAAAACATTTTTGCTCTTAACAAGCTTGACTGCTTTAAATTTGGGATGCAGAGAGCTAGGATAGTATTGTATAGAAACATTTGCACTAAGGCCCCGTCCACACTAAAGCGTTTTCGTTTGTATCCGTTTTCAATAGGTGTGAAAACGTATAGATTGAACTGCGTCCACACTAGCGTATTCAAGCGTTTCAGTGTGGACAGTTGAAAACACAAATACGGTCATATCGATCAAATTACATGTCTTCTGCGATAAAGAAAACTCAATAAAACCAGAAAAAAAACTGCTCAAGACGCTTTCACCTGGACAGATGATGAAGTTGAACTTCTGTTAACAGTTACAAACGAGTAGAAGGTTTCAAAACGCACGAAAGCGTGGATTGGGAGTCAGTCCAAAGCAAATGCAGTCATTCTCGAACGATTCAAAAAACACATTCCGTCGACAGAGGAMAAAAACTCCCAATCTCTTTCATCTGGAAAAGACTTGCCACAAAGCAGACGATATTACTAAGAATATTTAACTACAAAACTTAAATCTATAAGACCAAGGGGAACGATGACGTCATCGTTTTCAAAAGGAATCGTTTTCGCTGTCCACACTGACCGGGATGCCGTAGCGTTTTCAAAACGCTTCACTTTCAACAGCGTTTTCAAAAGGCTCCGTTTTCGATGAAAACGCTCAGMGTTTTCGAGCGTATTAGTGTGGACAGAAGGGCAAAACGYATACTTTTCGATTCGTTTTCAAACGAAAACGCTCTAGTGTGGACGGGGCCTAAAACTGATGGTTGCAGTTTGACATGCAAAATTCAATTCAGTACACAGAATGTTCTTGACTTCCCCTAACAGAACAAAAATAGTTTGGTATACTTTGCGATATTTAGTTTAGTTAGTTTGTYGTACCTAAAATTTTTGACCTAAACTAGATATTTGGTGATCATTAAGCGGCTGTGATAGGCCACTGCTGCTAACAATCCAGGCTTTTCATCTTTTACTCAGACCAATATTGTTCATAACTCATTAGATAAAAAATAAAGAATTTCCTAACAGTTTCTTCCAGAGGTTCTCCTGATYACCTTAACTTACAATACATTATTTCATCTGATCCAAATAATCACATGTATCAGGCAGCTAAATACTTCAGTTACTATAGCTGTTCAAATATTTATCAGATTTCAAACTCTTTGGAGTTTCAGGATTAAATGTTGGCAAAAATGTATTGTAAAGAGTCAAATATTATTAAAACCTGTGCTTCATGGTTGAGAGAGTCTTAACCAATAACAATTACTCAAATCAAACTACAACATAAACGGTTGGTAAAAGATATTATCAAAGTTAACTAGCGAAACAAAGATACTTATTCTAATATTTCAAATGTTCGATAGTTCCATTCAATAGATTACACCCAGCTTTTAGATGGATTGGTAAGTCTACTTTGATGCYACCGAGTTTCACACAAAACAAATATACAAAGAATGCAAGACAGCCTAAAAGTATTGACATACGTGCTATTTATCTATGTTTTAGGCATCTTTAAAACAAATGTACAGCGCTACGTGTTGACAAGTATCACCAGAGTATCATACTTACACATATTAGCATTCTCCAAGCTGTAAATGGCTCGAGATACTCAAAGTCACACGCTAACAAGTGTAGTATGTGATCTTTGTCAAATGCAAATGTTGCTTTTGTCTATTTTGAGTCAAGCCCATTACAAAAGTTGAAAAGCAACCGTCCTGGGGCGATTAACCCACTCTAGCGTGAAATTAAATACAATACAACCAAAACGCGGAATAATAACAAATAATATCTGGAACTATCATATATATGATTTGTATTACCTTGTCTTTGTCATCAAGAACATCACTAACCACATCGTCACGGTCTAGAATTGCTCTCTCTTCTGTTGTTTCTAAAACCTGAACTTGCACAATATCATCTGGGTGCTGTGGAAAATAAGAATTCTTAGCTGGATACTGTATAGTGCAGTAACAAAGCTCGTTTTGTCAAGAAACATACGATGATTTTGATACTGAATCGAATATTTGCAGTTAAGTTTACAACCTTGGTTGTGCGAAAAGCTTTCAATATAACAGTTAAGTTAGTCTTATATAATAATTTCCAGGGCATTCAGGTTATCAGAATTCTGTCAGCATTAGGAAATGCTGGTCTGAAAACAATACAAAATCAATCGAAGAAAAAAGAATTGGAATGAGAAAATCATAAAAACCCAAACTGATTTCATTTTTATGCAGTTGTTAAACTTGCAGAATAGTTTGTAAAAAAGTAAAACATCCATGCATTTGGTAAAATTATTGCAAAAAATGAACTTCTTCGTAAAAATTATCTACAAAACAGTAAATGTAAATGATAAAACACGAATCTAAACAGTAGCTCGTCGTGGAGACGACTGTCCGTTGTTGTAGTTAGTGATGTGACTACAGATTTAATAAGGTACGCCATAAAAAGAAGTATAATTGCAGCATAAGGAAACAAGAGATTAACCTATACTCCACATATAGCAATGGAATGATTTTAACAATTAATACACAAGGAATGAAAGTCTTCCAAAGCTCAATCGTAAATTTGACAAGTTGGAATACATTATCAACAAGGAAAAAACASATGAAACCGTCCAAAAGTCCTATATTTCGACTACAAAACACTACAAAAATATAACTGAAAATTCATCAATGGTTAAAATAGATTCGAATGCTGTAAAACTAACCTTATTTGTGGCTTTTTTGTAGCGGGCTATAGCTCGTTGGGTCAAGTCTTCGACGGATAGGTCGCCATTTCCACAAGGAACTATGACCCGAACTGAGTTAAAACAAACTGTAATTTTCATTATGAAATAAGAAATTTACTCAAAAGTCTTGAAGCATCAGCGAAGTATCGAATAAAAAACATTTTTACGCCAAACTAAATAGCACGGTCCATAATTCTGTGMCTGTTGATATTGAACTCGAATAAATTAAGAACTCTTCGGCTTGGTTATACCCTCGTGACTGGTCTCTACCAATCAAATGTCAGAATTCAGCTTCGTCATCTGTTATCTGCYGGGGAAGAGTGGGTGGGTTTTATGAACTGTTTCCGGTAGCAACAGAAGTCACACGTCAAAATGGCTGCTTCTTACCTCAGTCGCTTAGATACGTCACGGATTACGTAAGTCTAAAGTAATCTGGACATTTTACTAATTTCTGAACGACATTGAATGAAGTGAAAACGATGTCTGACGACTACCAGCACCACTACATGATGGAAACTCTTTCATCTTCACTTTCAAGGCATGATCTTTATTTTTCCTTGCATCATCTAGGCTTGCATTTGGATATATTGAAATACTGCTTCCAAAAATAATTCAAAAGCTAAATTCAATGCTTTGAAAATGATAACAATAAAGTTACAGAAACACTTCATGCTGACAGTCTCGGAATACTTTTGTGGATTATTCGAAATCCAGATTGATTGACTCAGATTCCATAATAACATATAACCAATCTATCAACTATGCATATATTATAAGTCGTAGTTTTCGCTTTTCAGGGTTTTCAACCGTGATCGATTTTCTTTAAAATAGTTGGTTAATGACTTCATTCAGTCTATTTTATACCGCTTGTTTATGTCATGTTTATGCATCCTTGCTATTGGTAACGTCATTTTCGAAATGTCAAAAAAGCATCAGAAGTAGCAATTGCCCTAAAAAAYAGCTTTCATCAAATTTCTAGAACTGATCGAACTGATCCAAAGATCAAGGATTTACGTATAAGTCTATAAATCGGTTGAATGAAAACGAGAGATATGGTGAAAAACAACTGCATTGATCCTCCAAAAATAACATTCGCCGTTTAACAGTCTGGGTTGCCTGTGTATACAATCCGATAGACATGATTACTAATCATGTAAAAAATATTTATACTATTAGAATTTCAAAAAATATATTAGGAATTATCTATATTTTTTTTGTATACACATGTTTTGTCATGAAAATTTTATAGACACCGATTTTCGGGCTATAGCCTCCAATGCTACTGTCATCGCCAAAAAGATATTTAATAATTTAATATTCTCCCTTTTAATCGAGCCATCGTTTGATTTCTCTGTATTGGCGAACTGTAGCATTGATTCATCATGCTAATAAACTGGAAATTGTCGCTTCAATCAAGTATTGGAACTGAATCGTAATCATTCCTTACCTGATCGTTCTTTAAGTCAATGGATGTTTTGCTTGTCATGTCTGGCTCATCGTTGTTTTTCTGTCATGTGGTTTAAAACATTTAAGAACAATTTTCAAGTAAAAACTTCTTGATAAAGCGGAATAGCCGTAGCCACACGATATGTTGTTTGTACAATGGCGTTTCCTTGAGCAATTGCCTTTGCGTGACGAARTGTTCCTAAATCATAATCTTGTATGTCAAGGTTTCCGATTGGCTGAATATCGCAAAAGATCGCGTAGCGTATCTTTTCTCTTCAATGCATTCCAATCACGCACTCTACCGATTTATGTAACAAATCATCACAACTCGAAAACGATCGAGGAAAGCCTGGCTTTTTTGTGATGACTAGTAAAYGAATAAAACGTTACCAAGGCCAAGAGGAATAAAAACTGAGACAACCATAGGATTTTAATTGAAAAGTTATTTTTATAATTAAAAAAAWTTACATCGTCTTTGTCTGAGTATGTTTATCATCATCTGTCTACCCGAGCCTACCCGATAAGTTACCCGGCCAGTTTCTCGTGTAAGATCTGTTTAATGGAAAGGGTAGCGAATATTTCCCATACCCATACACGTATACGGTTTAGTGAAAGATGTATATATTATATGAGAACAAAGCAAACTCTAGTTGTATCGGTGCTTATYATGGGTGCGAAACATGGAAAATAAACAAAGGAGACGGACCAACGGATAAATATGTTTCACAATAAATGTCTAAGGATAATTCTCAAAATAGAGTGGAAAGATCACGTCTTGAAAGAGCTACTAGAGAAGGCAGGCACTGATAGACTATAGTTTTCCTCGTATAGTTTTCCTCGCACAGGTACCTATCACCTACCCATCTTCATTTTGGGAAAATCGGTTTTCAAAAAAATAATGATTAAACTCTGGAAAAGTGGATGTTAGCGGACAATTTAGATTCTGACTTCTCTCCCTCAGTCATCAGGCTATTACAGTCTATATAGTCTGCTAACAGGCGTTCCCGAAATTTGCATTTTCTGCAATCTGTTAGGCTGTCGGAAAAGAAGAGAAAGAGCGCATCCATATTGACTTTTCTCTGCGTTTTGTTTTGTCACYAAATATTTTGTACATTTTATCATTGAACTGATTTAATTTAACAATATTTGTTGTGCAATCTCTTAGAGGTTAAAAATCAGTCAGCCACGCCCTTTTTTCAAGACTTCCGGGATCTTTCAGSGTYCTTTTTGAAAATTTCCGACGAGCATCACCGGTACTTTTACCAGGGAGTCCCCCTAACGGCAGACCTAATCTTGTTGTGATCAGATTCGACCCACAAATGCCTATCCTGCCGTCTATGTCTCGCGTCCCTCCCCCCTCCCCCTCCCTCCCCAGGGAGGAGGAGCGGATATTCATAACACTATCCTTTATTTCATCTAAATGAGATTTCCCTGATCAAATGATAATATCCTGTTTATAACTTTGTAGTGTATATGTCACTATTTTGCGTTGTGTCCTCAGTGAAGGCATTGTCAGGCTCGTTATTAGGCATCTCTGTAAGTTCAATATTTGATGTGGTTACAGGAAGGGAATTTTGCCAGTAATCAGTACCATTAGTTTTCTTGTGTGTTTGGAATGGTTTATTRTCCTCACTGTCGCCGACATCAGCGTCTGCTAGTCTTAAGTCACGGATAGGCAGGGCTGTCACCATACCGTGAGTTATGAAGGCCGACGGGTATTTCACATAGTCTGAAACAATGAATTGTAGAATATTGGTGTTCAAAATATTATTTTGAACAAAATATTATTTTGAACAAGCCAAAAAAAAAAAAATCAAGTGGAATCGGGAGGACTCATGTAGCAAAGAATTGTTAATTATTCATTTCCAACAATGTCATATATAATGTAGTGAAAATGTTTTAACTCTTTTTATTGAGTACTGAAGGTTTACCTTACTTTTTTTAATGAGTACGTCCACCAGTTTAGTAGCGTTAGTCTAGAACATTTATTTGAACTCCATTTTTTTGTAAATAAAGTTGAAATTAAACTGAAGGAAAAGTTTTTACTAAACAGTTGAATGCTTATAATTAGTACCAAATGGTTCAATTAACAAGTGATATTTCTTGCACTCTTTATTTCATCAGTATGAGTAATCTGCACTCAAACATTTTTATTTCATTTCTAATGTATCACTTCATATTATTCCATATTTAATGGAAAGCATTTAATGCTGCAGTTTTATTGTGCTTTTACTAAGAATTATTACATTGCTTTTGAATTTTCATAATATATTATTACATCTATTAGTTGCTGATTGATTGCGTTATAATAATCTTAATTCTAAACTTATTGTTATCCTACTTATTCTATTTTACCAATTTTAAATTATATTTTGGTTTACAGCTAAGCATCAATAGCCAAGCATTATAGCCAAGTGTCCAATGGTTGCTTTCTCCTGTCATACAAAGATGGTGATTCGACTGTATCACAATATTCGTCCATGTCACTGATGCATTCAATTTCATCACATGATTTAAAGGAATCAACATCAGATGTACTTGGTATAGTCAAACAGGCTGATTTACCTTGACTTGTCTGATGTGAATCTGACCTGTGCACTTGTAATCCAAGGGGACCATTTTGAGGCATCATGTTAGTTGTCTTAAGKGAGTGCATAACAGCATTGCTTAGCTGTTGAGATGGACAATAAGGAAATGCAAAATAATTGAAAAAATAAATTGTCAAACTGAAAAAATACCTCATGCAATCTAAAAGTAGCAATGAGAGGAGTTGTGTCTAGTAGTGTATTTTGATGTTGTTTAATAATTTATTAGTTATCAATATCTGAGAAAAATAAAAGTATGTAGTTCAGTTTTTTAGGTGCATCARGGGATTTCTTATTGATATCATGACTTACAACATTAGCAGACGCAAGTAAGCTGTGACATGCTCTAAAATGAAGACTCTCTATTGCCCTGCAAGCCTGAATAGCACAACCATTGTACCTTTGAAAAATAATTTGGTATTAGCATTTTCAAATCTCATTTATATTGCTATATAACATTACATACATCAAGAAATATAAAGAATGAATAAGCTCTTGAATGTATTCAGCACTGAGAGGAATTCTTGGATGATTTGCTAATCTTGACAGCTCTTCATTACTTATGACATCAGCTAGTTGACATGTTGTAGTTTCAGGAGCACACATGCTAGAAAAACCAGCAGCTGCAACTCTAACACACAAAAATACATTATTAAGTAATTCAATAATCAAAGGAAAAGTATCAGTTATTTAATATTGTTGGTTAGTAATGGTATTGCTGATATGTAATATTTCTTTTGTTTTACAAAAACAAATATCAAAAGGTGGTTTTGATTGGTTCTAAATCAAAGTGAAAAAATCAAGCAAAGATTCTTGGTTGCATGTCAACCTTTATAGATACTGCTCCAAGATAATGAACTTGTCATCAAAGCACAGCTTATTTTAGACCTTCTTTACCTTATTGCCATCAGCCAGAAGCTATCGTATGAGGATTTATGAAGAAAAAGAATAAACTTTTTGTATTGTCTTAAAGCAACACATAGAACTGACATCCTAAAAACAAGAGATGAAACAAAATTTTTAAAAATACCATGCCTTGTTTTTCCATTGTAATATTTGTGAAATGAGTGCATGCAAAATCCTCTAACAGGACCATGACCAATTTGAAATATTGAATTAAGTCTCAATGATACCTGTTAGATGCAGTAACTTTGCTAATTTCTTTGGTTGGGCCCAGTATTGGTGTTTCAGCAAGTTCATGGCGACTTAGAGCACTTTCAGTCAATGCAGACTGGGACATTATATCCACTGATGACTAAAACAATAAAATCKCATATCATCCCATATACATTGTGAATTGCTTGTTATAACTATTATCAACACAAAGACTATGGCCTTATGGATGGTTAACATTCATAATATCAATTATTAAATAGGGCATGTTGTTTTGTTAGTCAAGTTTGGTGATGATGACTCTACTTCTACATGAAATGTGGTGAGATTATGAAAAAAACACTTTGTATAAACAAGAGGCATAAATTATTTTCTTGCACCAAACAAAATGAACAATTATAAGGGACAATTCATAATTTGTGGGGAGGGGGAGGGGGAAGGGGGGATAGTACAAAAACTGTTCATGGAATTTTCTTCTCTCCTCCTCCTCAAAATACCTAGAAACATTTGTGCCCCCCCCCCCCCCATTAACAGTAGTAAAAAGTTTACTTCCCCAAATTCAAATTACTATAAACTCCATTGAAAGTATTAAGTTGCTCCACATCATCGCTCTTACCAAATCATCAATAAAAAAATAATCATCCGATTCTTTTGAACTGAACGTTCTCCCATAATGTGTTCATAGATTTGAGATGTTTTTATCTTCAGACTCACTGTTTGTAACTTCAATATCCTCCTCAGCATAATCAATATTTTCTAGAATTTCTTCTTTATCTTAATCATCATTATCATCTTGGAAGAAAGATACCTTTGTTATCTCACTTGATATTTGTTTTACAAGTGTCCTGACGTTGTCTGCTTTTTTTTTCCTCGAGGGGGCAAGGCATGATGATTGAGATATTTAATTAACAATCCTGTCCTAGGATCGACAACGGCTCTTGACCAATCAGTGCGCAAGTATTCTACAAGTTATGGTAAAATATCTAGTTCCTGTTCGGGAACAGTTAGCTTTCCTAATGTGTCATTTTCTAGAAGTAGCTTCCAGGTCTTGAACGGTTTTGTTCTTTTTTTCTATAGCTCTTGCTCACTTTGTTTTGTCTCTAATAGACTTTGTATGTTATAGGTGTTGTAAATAGTTTGATAATAGTTTTAGTCCCYCCTATAGTTTTCATGCCAACCCTGTTTAGAGCAGTTTAACTTGCCTCCCTCCCCTCCCCATAAATTATGAACAGTCCCTAACTACCTCATGATAAATTGATGGTCTTGATAAAGATGGCAGTCTAAATGATTTTTGATTTTTTCTTTCATTTCTGTCTTGAACCTCCTATCAATTTATGAGCAAACAGATCAAAAATGTATATAATAACAAATAATAGAACAATTATAGGGAGACTTATCCAAAGCAACTTAGCTTAAAAATAGTGAAGTGCTTCATTATAAGTTTGAATCTTGAGCTAGTTGTCACAAATACACTTGCGTTTTAAAGCAATGCAAACAATAGGATTGATGAGTGACTCAACATTTAAATGCTTTTAAAAAATAAATAATATTTCATAGGGTTTGATCTGCCTTCAAAAAATCTAAATAATATTGCTCTTTGTGATCCTAGAAGTGTCATTCTAAACTTTCATGATAGTCCCCCTTAACAATTAAGCTGGATAACCAAATAGAAAATAGATCATACATAAATGAAATTATATAAATTGATAACTTACTGCATTATATATAGACAGAAGAATGGCTTCCAGTCTTCCATAGCCCTAAAAATACATCACGACACATTAACTTAGTGCAATTTTTTTAAAAAGACCCAAATAGGGATAAGAGATGCAAAGTTATATAATAACCTGTTTATCTCGTCGAGATTTAGCTGAAAGATAAATCCAAATAATAGAAGGCAAGAACTGTAGTACAAAACATCGAGCTTCTTTGTTTTTACTTCGATACAATTCAAACAATGTGCTATAAATTGGATGACCAGCCTGTTAAAAGAATTATTAAACAATAATTATTGACACAATTATTTTCAATTTTTATTTTTTGGGTCTTCTCAGAAAACCACATTTGAGATTGTATGTAATTGWTTGATGCACACAGCAGGAATCAATCAATATCAAATCTATCACTGAGATACTGTACAAATATCAAGTGTTTACCTGTTTTTTGTATTGATCTGATAAACTACTAATAACAGTTGTAATAAATCCTTCTTGTTTATTAAGTTTTTGAACTGCTTCTTGTGGCGTCAAAGTTGAGCATTCCTAGGCCAACATGCATCAAAGGATTATCATTTATATCAAATAACACAAACAGCATATTGTAATCATGGATATATTTAGGTTTGGCCATCAGTTGATCCAAAATGTAAACATTCKCACTAGTACATAATATCAATGAGTTGGGCGTCATGTGATATCCTTACATTAATAAATTATTTTTATTATTCCCATTTATTTGTTGTTTGAAATATTTATTTATTGTATAGATTTAATGGCTAAATAACTCCAAAACCATTGGAAYATAAACCAAGAACTGTTCTATTGAAAACAGTAAACAAAACTAAAAATAACCAATAGCACATGCAAGTCTTAGGCTCTGTTTTGCAGATTGTTGTGATCTTTGGTCGAGTAGATGAATTGTCGTTGCTGTGGTTAATGATCACCAAATGCTGACAGCCTTGCAGCACAACTTGCATTGCCTTGCCATGCTACAGTCCTGTTATAATTTATATGTTAAGCTATTTGTGTGTCTGTTTTCAATAAAACAGTTCACGTTTTTTTTTATTCCATGGTCTCAGATGTTCCAATGGTTTTGGTCTTTCCATACTCAGGTCCAGTGACCACAAACAAAGCATTTATTTAACCAAGGCATCAAGGTAAAGTGCAGAGCCATAACCAGAACTTCTACCGGGGGTTGCACCATAACCAGAACTTCTACCGGGGGATGCACATGTGATAAAACCGGACCATTATTGGCCTTTGTTATTAGTAGTTGTCAACTTTTCAGTATATAAAGTCGGAGCTGTTTTCAAACCCCTATGCAATACACAACAGCGTATTACAACTTGTGACACTTACCGTTTTTGATTATGTTTATTATTTGTGATTACACGTTATTACTATACCTTATACACGGTCCTTCGTGCAGATTCAGTTCGAGTACAGTTGGTTTTGAAAAACAAGTCAGGTCAGACATGTAGTCTGCTACTGGTAACATTGTAATCCAGTACAACCTGCCTCATGGACGGGTCGTCGGCGTCTAAACCRGCACCCCCACCAGTCTACACTGGTGAGGAGGGTGGCATGACACCCAGCAGGACTAAAAACAAAACCTGTCAAAGCGCGAATGAGCTTGGTTAAGCCACTGGGCATCATGCAAAAACACTTGCTTATTGTGATGTAAATTTGATTGTTGTACTTTAATTTTTAGTTTGAGATCTTGGGACGGACTGTGCAGCGGCAGCCAGAGGCGCCAACTCAAGCTCACAGTCTACCAAGACTCTCATGTGTTTTGTAGTTGTCATGCAGTTTTTTAAAAAGCGCTTAGAACAGAATTGGATAAGCGCTATATAAATAGGATTATATTATATTATATTATTAACAAGTACAGTGGATTCATGCCGATAAATTTGACATAACAAGTTATGCATAAAACTCCACACTTTCAGTCAAACCTAGTCTCCTTCGCAGCCTCCCCTTTTGTCGGGCTTCCTGTCAGGAAGCCCGACAAAAGGGGAGGCTGTGACGGAGACTAAGTCAAACCTTACCATATTATTTACCAGTTGCTTATCAACCTTATGATATTCTTTCMAATTATTTCGTTTCATTGCTTTCATATTCCAAGTAACTCCAAGTAAGATTTGATCCAGGAAAGAGCYAATAAGGAATCATCTCTCATAATTGTGTCATCTCTCAAAATAGGCCTATGTTGCCCTGTCTGTTAACCTTCCTATCTCTATTTTGTTTTTATTCAATCGCAGAAGTAAGCTTAAGTTAAATCTTACCTGTAGAATATCGTACAACCTGGAGTCATATTCCATCTTTAAGAGTTTGTCGTGAATGAGCTCGATTTCAAATCTGCAAATGAATAACAACGGAAGAATTATTAGCTTAAGCTTTACAAAGGCATGAACGACTTTTAAACTTAAAAGCTGTCAAAAAACATATCGTTTCTACCTTTAAGCATTAAGATTACCGCTGTAAGCAACTTTAACATTAAAGTTTACATCTAGAACGTTCAAACTATTCTTTATATATTTCTAGAAGCCTCTCCTACAATTATYTCTTAGAATGTTCAAGTAAAGAAGTTGTTTGTACCGTCGCCTTTAATAATTCAGCAACAGCCTCGATCTCGAGATTCTGCGGCGTAACCAACTACGCGCAGGCGCAATTTGCCCGTCAATGGAGAAGACAAAATGGCGGCCATTGGAATGAATGAGGATAAATGGTACTTTACCAAAGAGCAACTAGAGAATACCCCTTCAAGAAGAGCTGGAATACCGGCAGATAAAGAACTGAGCTACAGGCAACAAGCTGCCACACTAATACAAGATATGGGCCAGCGACTGTCTGTGTATCCTTCGTTTGTTTTTGACCAATTCAATCTCTCCCTAGAGATAGCAGTACTATTTTATACAGACGGTTCTGAATCCTTATGTGTGTATTTTTCACCTCTATTAA